TTGTACAAATAAACCTGTGGCAGGATCTGTCTCAAAAAACAAACAAACAAACAAACAACTCTCCTTCATCCTCTCCCTTCTGAGGGAATGGGGTCAGGAAACGGCAGGGAGGGAGCTGGAAGCATCAGGCCCGACTTTCAGATGTGGAGGTGGCCGCCATCTGAGGCTTGGAGGAGACCAGCTGAGGAGACAACCCCCAGAGCTGAGTTGGGGGTGTGGGGTGGGGGCCCGGTTTTAACAGCATCAAAGGAGCAGCTGAGCCAGGCCCACACTGTCCTCCTCCTCCCACAGGTCTTGTCCTGGGAAACAAGCTGACTTTCAGCCCCTCCATGGCGGCCACAGTCCCCTGACAGCCCAGCCTTCTGTCCTTGATCTCATTCCTGCCCCTTGTCTCCCAACATTGGCCCCCAGCCCTGCTTTGCCCCACCCCACCCCACGCCACCCCACCCTACACCACCCCACCCTGCCCAGCCCCACCCCACCCCACCCCACCACCCCTCTCCTGTCCTTTCCTTCCATCTCCTCAGGTCACTTTGTCTATCAAGTCTTCCCTCTGGCTCTGTGTCCTCCTGACTCAGCCCCCTCCTACTGCTTTGTCCATGAGCATCATGACATCCTTATTCTCTATCCCTCCAATGTCTCTCACTAAAGGACTCAGTCTCAGTCCCTCACAGTCCTGTGTGAGGTTGTGACAGGGGGGTCCAGACATGTGAGCAGAGGCCTGTGGTGAGAGACCTGGAGCCTTCGTTGCCTGTAAGGCCGTGTGCAGGATGCCTGCTGCCAGGGGCTCGCTCAGCATGATTCAGGCTCCACAGAGACACGGCAAGACAGACAGCCGCTGCCTGCACTGCATCCTGCGTGGCCAGGTCCTGGGAAGAGCAGAGGGATCCTGTCTGCAGGGAAGCCCCTCCCTCCAGCGTCCTCTCCAGGGAGTGGAATTGGAAAGGCCTGAGGACGCAGTAATCCCCTGCCCTCCCCTCAGCCAATGTCAACTTCAATTGCTCTTCCCAATAGTGACCCTGAGCCTTTCTCTTCTCCTATTGCATGGGCTGTCGTTTCAACACAGCACTACTCTCCGCACATCCTTGGTCGATGCGTTTAGGCTTTTGGGTTTGAGCCTCTGCTCCTATAAATATTACTGACTTTACGTGATCAGTGGAAATTAGTGTGACCACTGCCCCCCTATGAGATACCTACAGAAGAGAAAGGCACTTGCACTTCTGCAGGTGTTTATTGAACTATTTGGACTTCATGAAACACTTACAGAGGAAAAAGCATTGTGTGGAAGGTTCTTAATCTTTCATGTTATTGCTTTGGACTTCAAATCAATGTAAATAATTAATTTTCTAAATATAAAAATAATTCTGATAGTAATGAATAGAATGTTACTGGTGTGTATTTAGAACACATCATTGATTTTTTAAAATTAAATCTTTATTGTTCAGATTATTACATTTGTTCCTCTTTTTTCCTCCCATAACTCCCCTCCTCCCAGTTCCCACCGCACCCTCCGCCCTCACTCCCCACCCACTGTCCTCATCCATTGGTGCACGATTTTTGTCCAGTCTCTTCCGCATCTCCCACACCCCTTTCCCCCCCAAGAATAGTCAGTCCATTCCCTTTCTGTGTCCCTGATTCTATTATAATCACCAGTTCATTCTGTTCATCAGATTATTTATTCACTTGATTCTTAAATTCGCTTGTTGATAGATGAGTATTTGTTGTTCATAATTTGTATCTTTACCTTTTTCTTCTTCTTCCTCTTCTTAAAGGATACCTTTCAGCATTTCATATAATGCTGGTTTGGTGGTGATGAACTCCTTTAGCTTTTCCTTATCTGTGAAGCTCTTTATCTGACCTTCAATTCTGAATGATAGCTTTGCTGGATAAAGTAATCTTGGTTGTAGGTTCTTGGCATTCATCACTTTGAATATTTCTTGCCACTCCCTTCTGGCCTGCAAAGTTTCTGTTGAGAAATCAGCTGACAGTCGTATGGGTACTCCCTTGTAGGTAACTGAGTTTCTTTCTCTTGCTGCTTTTAAGATTCTCTCTTTATCTTTTGCTCTTGGCATTTTAATTATGATGTGTCTTGGTGTGGTCCTCTTTGGATTCCTTTTGTTTGGGGTTCTCTGCACTTCCTGTACTTGTAAGTCTATTTCTTTCACCAGGTAGGGGAAGTTTTCTGTCATTATTTCTTCAAGTAGGTTTCAATATCTTGCTCTCTCTCATCTTCTGGCACCCCTATAATTTGGATGTTGGTACACGTGAAGTTGTCCCAGAGGCTCCTTACACTATCTTCGTATTTTTGGATTCTTTTTTCATTTTGCTTTTCCGGTTGGGTATTTTTTGCTTCTTCGTATTTCAAATCTTTGACTTGATTCTTGCGCTTCTCTGGTCTGCTGTTGGGAGTCTGTATAATATTCTTTATTTCAGTCAGTGTATGCTTAATTTCTAGTTGGTACTTTATCACAACATTGAGGGTCTCATTAGATTTCTTGAGGATCTCACTATATTTATCAGCGGTCTCACCAGTCTTTTCGAGAGCCTTACTAATTTTTTTTTTTTTTTTTTTTTTTTTTAGAGTCCATACATTTATTGAGTAAAAACAAAACCAACGGCAGACACAGTCAATTCGGTCTGCTTCCGACTGGGCTGCTGTCCGTCTGCAGCAGACGAACTGAGGTGAAGAGAGGATGCTGGCAGGGGACACTGAACAAAACGCTCTTCCGCGTACTGTGAAGGCAGCATCACTGGGCGGTGGGGGCCAGCTGGCACAGGCGGGGACGCCATGTTTAATGAGCAGGATCAAACCACAGGGCGCAGGGACCTCCGAGAGAGGAGAGGGCGGGGCAGGGACGAGGCGCGACAGGGCTGGCGGGAGAGTAGTGTTCGGTGCAGATCTGCTGGTTCACTTGGGGAACACAGTAACCACGTCGTAGCCTTCCGGTGGGGTGACCCGCTCTCGGGCGTGCTTTTCACAGTAGATTTGATCTTCCACAAAGAAATGGCCCTTCTGCTTCAGGTTTGTGCCACAGTCGGTGCACACGTAACACTCAGGGTGGCGGTGGTGGTCCCGCAGCTTCACGAACACGCCGACGATGCCGGTGCCACATTTGTCACACATGGGCAACTTCTGGGCATTTCCAATCGATGCAGCCACTTTGGTGACCGGAGCTTTAACACTTCTGAATCCCGAGGGCTTGTTGGGATCCCCTTTCTCCTCGGATTCCAGGATCTCCTGCAACACCAGGAATGAAGTGGACTGTTTCGGGGGCTCATTTAACTCCTGTTTCTCCTGAAGCATCTTGTAAACTTCGGATTCTTTGTCGATGACGAGTCCGCTTGGAGACTGAGAATGCTCTAAGCCTCTGCCGTTCGTCTCTGGCCCACCGGCTGCCGTCTTTGCCTCCAAAGCGCTGTTGAAGTTGGAGATGTTTTCAGAGGAGTAGAGGCCGGAGGGGTTGTTGTACTGGTTTGTGATGACCCTGGGGGCAGAGCCGGAGGCAGGTGAGGCGGTGAAGGGCATGGCGCTCCGGTTGTGGGCACTTCCTATGTGCAGGACCTCTTGCGGTTCAGAGGCTAAGTTCATCTTGTACGGATGACGTTTCCCTTCCTCTGTCACGAGAGGAGACCAGACTTTATGTTCAGATCTGGATACTGTGAGAGTCATGTTGTCTACACAGCCCTTGATTTTGTTCTGAGCTTCCAAGTGCGTCATATTGCTGGTATTTTCCCCATTGATGGCTGTAATTATATCTCCAATACATAAATTAGCTATAGCAGCCTTGCTTCCGGGAGTAACCCGGGAAATGGCGAGAGGCTGCTCGAAGTCCTTGCCCCCCATGAGGCGGAAACCCCATGGCCCCGGGCCCTGGAGAACTATTTGCTCGGTGGTCATGGCACCGCGAAGGCGAGCGGCGACCCGCGAAGACAGACGCGGCAGGACGCGGCGGGCGCGCTGGGCTTCCCCGGCAGCTCTCCGAGTGCGCGCGGCCTTACTAAATTTATCGGCGGCTTCTAGACAGTTCTTGAGAGACCTTAAAAGTGTGGTTTTGAACTCTATATCCTCCATTTCTGTCATTTGTGTTCTGTTTCTTTGTCTCCGCATTTTTTATGCTTTCTTGGTGCACCCCCTTGTGGTCTTTGTGCGCAGTCTTGTTGTAGTTAAGCCTTGATTGTTGTAGTTAATACTGGGGGGGATTTGACCTCCAGGCCAACTGGCTGTGAGAATCAGCTGTGTCTGCAGTAGGAGAACTTCTGTCCTCTAGGGAGGTGCTAATCTAGCCTTTGCCTGAGGCTATCTGGCAAATGCCTCTGTGCAGGGCTTGGGCGGGGCGGGTCCCAGGGGATCAACAGGGCGGGCGGAGCAAGCAGTTATGGCTGCTCTCAGTCCAGTTCCCAGAGGCTCTGCCTCTCAGTGTCCCAGCAACCACTGCAAACCTCGGAGAGAAAGTTGCCCTCGAGTTCCGACCGATGCCAGACAGTCCCACTTCTCCCGTTTGAGTCTGGGTCCCCAGAGACTCACCAGGAACTGGAGTTCAGAGCCTGAGACTCCCCCCCAATTGAAACAGACCATGCCCTCAGCCACCAGCCCGCTTCGCACGCACATCTGCACCTTTGTATTTTACTTCCCCACTGCGCCTCCTCTGAGTCTTGGTATGCTTTTCTCTTTCCTTCTAGTTGTAGAATTTCCCCTCAGCTAGCCTTCCTGTGGTTCTGGGTGATGTCCGTTCCGTCTTTTAGTTGTATTTTTAAAGTGGATGTGCAAGGCAGCAATCTCTGGTGTTTACCTATGCCGCCATCTTCCATTGATTTTAATTGAAAAGTAAATCAGTCAGATTTAAAAAAAATTCTTTATGAGCTCATTTATTGCTTTTTACTGGATTCGTGGATCAAGTTGGGGATGGCGGCACGTGATGCGCTTTCATTTCTTGAAGAAAGTGTTTTATGCGTCGTTCACCAGAAGACCCCTGACAGTTTAGAGAGGTTGAGTCTGTTCTTCAGATTCCCTGATTCTGGATCGAGAAGGAGGAGGGGGAGGAAGCAGAGAGTGAAACAGGTGGGAAGGTGAACAGAGCAGAGTCTGGGGTAGTCACGGGAGGGGAGGGATGGGGGCGCAGGAGGGGAGAAAACAGAGGGACTCCTGAGACCTGAGGGGAGGGTTGGAGCTGGGGCCCAGGAGGGAGCAGATGACCCAGGGGGAGAGACAGGCCCAGGGAGAGAAGTGGAAGGGGGAGGGGGAAGAGCAGGAGGGAGGAACCGCACCCTGAGAATGTCCTTCAGCTCCTGAGATTCGCTTCCAATGTGTTCTACCAGGGTAGGACAGGGCCTGAATGGCTGGCCCTGGTTGTCCATGATTTTTTCCCAGCAGTGCTGGAGCTCTATGGGAACCAGGAGGGAAAGGTGAGCTCCTTCTAGAGCAGGGAGGGCCCAGGTCTCTGACTCTAGGGACACACCCTCCCCATCATGGTCTCCCTGCCCCCTTTCTCTCTCCTCCCAAGACACTGAGCTCATCCCTCAAATTCTTTCTTCCACTGGGATCTGAGGCAGCCCGTCCCCTTCTACCAGGAAGGACCTGGGTCCTGATGGCACAGCGACCCACCTCCCCCTCCCCATGACCCCCTCTCTCCCCTGAATTCTCTCCTCCAGGGGACTCCATCCTCTCCAGACCCAGCAGCCCCCCTGCAGGCAGCTGACAGGCTTCCCCACCTGGATTCTCCTCCTGCCCCCTCTGTGTAGCCATTTCCCAGCCTCTCTGCCTGCCCACCTCACACCCTCAGGAGTCCCTGTTGACCATCGTGGGTCATGATGGCCGGTTGGGCCCCAGCGTCCCACAGCTTGCTCAGCCCATCCTCATGTCCACTGACAAAGGTGTAGATGTGAGCAGCGAAGATGCACAGCCTCACGTGGCTGTTCTTGCGCAGGAATTAAACCAGCTCCAGAGCACAGACAGGGCAGGGGCTCCAGGAGATATAGCAGGTGAGTCTGTACTTCTTCCATCCATCCAGGTTCCAAAAAAGGACCTGATCCAGGAAGCACAACTCTGCATGACTGCGTTCCCAGTGTGTGTCAGCACCCTGAGCACAGATGGGGGAGAGGAGGGACCTGTCACTTCCTGTGAACAGGGGAGGGTGGCACCAGCCAGAGGCAGGTGAGGCACTGGCCTCCAGCACAGGACTGAAGGGGCACAGCTCAGCGTCAGGATGAACGCTATTTCAATGCAGGATCTACACGGTCAAAGGGAAGGCGACTCATGAATCACATAATATCAGCATTTACAAAGGGCACATCAGCAGTGAGGACTTTCCTACATCAGCAAACCATGGCTCCCATGGCTCTGTAACTGATCAGTCTTCACTTAACCTGTTGATGTTTCATTCACCATTAGTTTTGATTTTTTAAAGTTTTCCATTAAATATGGTTCTTTTCCCAAATCCACACCTGGGGAGATTTTTTTCCATTGATCTTAAGAGAAAGGGTGGAGGGATGGAGGACGGGGCAGAGAGAGAGAGAGAGAGAGAGAAATATCAATGTGGGAGAGACACATACACTGGTTGCCTACCCCACACTCCATGACCCGGGGCCAAGAATCAAAGCTGTAACTGAGATATGTGCCCTTGACCTGGAATCCTACCCCTGGCCCCTGGCTGTGCAGGCTGATGCTCTAACCACTGAGAAAACAGACCTGGACTCCATGTGATTCACCTTGGTACAGAGTTCCCAGAGAGCCTCTATTTTGTGCCCAAAGCCTATGCATTCAGGAGCTGCCCCTAGTCAGCCCCTGCAGGGAGACAAAGAGAGGAGGGCACCGCAGCCGGTGTGACTAAGTGTGTTGAGCCGCGACCCATCAACAAAGAGGCCACCAGTTCCATTCCTGGTCAAGGCCCAGGCCCTGGTTGAGGCTTAATTCACTGTAGGGGAAGTGCAGGAGGCAACAGCCAACCAATGATTCTTTCTCATCACTGATGATTCTATCTCTCTCCCTTCATCTCTGGAATCAATAAAAGTCTTTTAAATAAGTAAATAAATAAATAAGTAAGTAACCTAAATATAAATAAATAAATAGCTAAGGACAGAGGGAGGTGGCAGCTGAGCGCCAAGGTCCTGGGCCAGATGCCACAGGGGTGGGTGCTTCCTCCAGGCAGAGGAGCTCTCCCTCTGCTCCCCCACCTCCAGCTTCCGCCTGTGCACCAACACCCTCCACACGCTTCTACTCTGGGCTTTCCCTGTGCTGCGCCCAAGGGTGGCACACTCTGCGGGAAGAAGGGGTGAGGGCACCGAGGCAGAGGTGGGGAGACACGGGATGAACGTTGCTGCTGGGCTCCCAGGATTATGGAGATAGGCCACCCGCACAGGGAAGGATTTTCAACCAGGGGCTCAGGGAGGAGGAAGAAGTCATGCCCACGGAGCTGGCGCAGAGCCCCGGTGGCAGAGGATGGTACCTGGGGACCCAGGAGGCGTCCTGGGCTCCGTGCAGCTGGCAATGCTCTTGTGGGGACAGCACCCTGCCAGGCTCTCCCAGGAGTGACTGGAGGGAGCACCAAGGGGGAGCTCTGCTCTCTGGCCAGAGCCGGCCCAGGTCGGGGCTAGGGGAGAATGGCCCCTTTGTCCAGGGGCCTTTGCCTCTGGCCTGACCCCTCCTCAGAGGCACAGCAGGAGGGACAGGCTGACCCTGGAGGCTGGGCTGACCCTGGGCTGGTGGGCCCAGGCCCTGGGACACTGTGACTGTTTTCTGATGTGGGGCTCCAAGCTGCCAATCACAGCAGAGTCCCTCCTCCCTGCCTCTGGGCAACGCCACAGCAGCTGGGGGCCCAGGGACATTGCTCAGAGGACACCCCGCGGGCATGGAACCTTCTCCCCGAGTGCCCCGGGGCCCTGCCTGCTGTGCTCGCTCACCTGGTTGCGCAGGAAGCCCTGGAGCTCCTCCACTGGGACCCAGGTGTCCTCCTCCCGGACCTCCACCTCGTAGCACAGGTGTGTTTTTTTCTCCCAGTTATGACTGAAGTTGACCTCGAAGGTGGTTCCATCTATCAAGGGGTCTGTGGGCACAGGCAGTAGGAACCCAAGTCATGGGGCTCCTCTGGGGATCACCCCGTTCTCCTCTCCTCTGCACCTACATCCCGGCTAGACCCGCAGAGGACAGGTGCCCACTCACTTAGCTGGGGCCACCTAACCTCCCTCTCTGACCCCTTCGTGGGCTCCTGGGGAGTCATCCCAGTCCCTTTGTCAGGGTCCCCCCGGGAGCAGGGCAGGGGCTCAGAGCTCTGACGGGGCCTCTCCTGGCATCACCGTCCTGCCCTCGTCCCGCTGACCCAGCCCTGCCAGGTGCTGCCCAGGGGCGCTCTTTCCTCTGCTCTTCTGGGTTAACCTGAGCCTCATGGTGCATTGGGGGAAAGGGTGGCCCCATCGGGAAAAGAGATGCCAAACTAGTCTTCTCAGATAGCTCAGCACATTTCCCTTCTCATCATGAAAACAATCGTGTCCTTTACAAAAACCAAAACATAAATCTGAACGTGACCTCCTGGGGCAGTGATGACCAATCGTTTGAACTCAGCATGTCAGCATTTTGAAAAACCCTAACTTAATTCTCGTACCGTGTCACATATAGAAATTTTTTGAAATTTGCAAGCATAGTAAAACAAAGACTTATATTTTTGATATTTATTTTATATATTTAAATGCCATTTAACAAAGAAAAATCAACCCAAAAAAATGAGTTGATGGTGACATTGGTTCACCATCACTGTCCAAGGGCCTCAGTGCAGAGCAGAAAGAATAGATTTCATGGGAGACGGAGGGAGAGGAGAAACAGGGACCCTCAAGGGTGACTCCCAGAGTCTAGCTGGGGGCTTAGGGGAGGCGGGTAAGACTGGCCAGCTTGGGATCAGCTGAGGGGTCCTGGACATAGAAGGGCCATCAAGAGAAACGGGAGAAGCAGGGGGTCCCCTGGGGAGAAAGCAAGTCCCTCAGGGAGCCAGGAGGAGGAGCTCAGAGGCAGGGCTGCTCCAGGAGGCAGCTGAGCCCCAAGGTTGATATTTGCAACCATAGTAAAACAAAGACTTATATTTTTGATATTTATTTTATATATTTAAATGCCATTAAGCAAAGAAAAACCAACCAAAAAAAATGAGTTCATGTGTCACCTCTGACACGCGTGTCATAGGTTCGCCATCACTGTCCAAGGGCCTCAGTACAGAGCAGAAAGAATAGATTTTGATATTTATTTTATATATTTAAATGCCATTTAACAAAGAAAAATCAGTGCAGAGCAGAAAGATGACAAGCAGGAATCTCCTAGGTTCTCCAGACACACCCACAGGCATCCGTCTGAGTGGCAGGAGGCAGAGGATGTCCCCACTCCCAGGCTGGTTTGCCAGAACCCCATCATCGAATCAGCTCCTCATCATCAAATCAGAAGGCACGTTGTTGTACGTTTCTTTTTAAGATTTTTTTATTGATGCCAGTTGGTGCTGGGTTGTCCTCCATGTCTCAGCTCCTTCACCTTCTCTGCTGGTCACGGCCCGTCCTCCTCCTGTGCTGCTTTCAAGGATTGAGGTGCCTTATATGCCATCGAGGCACCTGGAAACTGCTGAGCCGGCCCTGCTTCACCCCACCCCTTCCCTAAACTCAGGCCACTCATGCCACCCACATGGCGTCATAGAATAGGGAACATTTTTGCGCAAATGTCTCATCCTATGTCCTCAGAGGCAAGTTAGGTTTTGATTTCTCTGTTCTGACAAAGGCTTTCCCTGAACTGACCTTTGGCCAATGAGGTCCCAGGAGGTGGGGTCACCCTGGGCAGCACGGCACAGCCAGGCAGGAGGCGAGAGCACAGGTGAGAGGACAGGTGCTCCCACCTGAGGATGGTCCGGGCACGGGACACGGTGCCCCCACAGGACAGGCCCCGGGTGCCCATCCCTGACTCTCCCGCGGCCGCCAGTGCAGGGCATGGCCGGGCCCAGTGCAGGGACCTGCGGGGCTGAGCCAGGAGGGAGACTCTGCCCTGAGAGGAAGGGCAGGGCGGGGCCACCCTGAGCTGAGCTCCCCTTAGGAGCCACCCTGAATGGAAGGAACTGGACTCGGGGCCTTTGTCCGCCCATCACACAGAGGAGAACAGAGAGGCTCCCAGCAGGGCGGCCAGGATGGCCTGGGAGCAGAGGATGCAGGGTGTGCCCGCCTCAGGAAGGGGCACCGCTCATCCTCTCCACCCCCAGCCGCGAGGAGCTTGGGGACTTTGTGTTCCAGACTCAAGTGTGACCTGAGCCCCAGCTGGTAGGGTTTGTCCCCGAGAGGATGCCCCTCTGTCCCCCTGACTGTCCATCCGGCTCCTTTCAGACCACCCTGTGCCGGCCCCAAGTTCCCTCCCAGGGGACATGCCCAGCGCAGCCCCGGGTCTGTCCCCAGCGCACTCCCCACGGCATGCTGGCTCCGTGGCTGTGGCTAATTCCCTTGCTTCCAGCTGGTGGTTCCACTGCAGGAGCCACAGATACGACAAAGGCCAGTCTTGGCACACAGCTGCGCTTGGGCAACGGGCCAAAATGCTGCCCTGACTCACCAGACACAGACACACACACACACACACACACACACACACACACACATACGCAAGCTGATGTCACGCAGGAATCTCCTAGTTTCTCCAGACACACCCACCGGCCTCCGTCTGAGTGGCAGGCGGCAGAGGACGTCCCCACTCCCAGGCTGGTTTGCAAGAACTTCATCATCAATAAATCAGCTCCTCCTCATCAAATCAGAAGACACGTTGTTGTATGTTTCTTTGTAATATTTTTTATTGATTTCAGAGAGGAAGGGAGAGGGAGAGAAACTTAGAAACATCAATGATGAGAGAGAATCATTGATCGGCTTCTCCTGCACCCCTCTCGTTGGGGATCGAGCCCACAACCCGGGCATGTGCCCTGACGGGGAATTGACTGGGAACTCCTGCTTCATAGGTCGATGCTCAACCGCTGAGCCACACTGCCCGGGCAAGAGGCTGCTCTGCATGAGGCCCAGGTCTGCCTTCCCGCAGGTGGCCTTCCGGCAGGAGGACAGGCTGAGGTGGGGAGCCCAGGGCTCAGCCGTGTCCTCAGCTGTGAGCTACCCTCTCCAAGGTCTCAGGGCCCCCGTATCAGGGAGAAAGCTCCGAGCCTGCGTGCCTCAGGCGACGGGGCCCTGGGAGCTGGGGGTCAGGTCTGCCTGGACCCGCATGTGACAGCGCAGAGAGTGGGGACCCCTCTTGTCATGTGAGACCACGTGTCTTCTACCCACTCGTCGGCTTTCCCAGAGTGACTGCGTCTTGGTCAATGGCTTCCAGGAAGAGAAGTGGGGGCTCTTGCCAGAGTCCAGGAACCCAAGGAGCTGATTGGATGATGAGGAACTGATTTGATGATGAGTTTCTTGGAAACCCGCCTGGGAGTAGGACGTCCTCTGCTTCCTGCCACTCAGACAGGAACTTGAGGGTGTGTCTGGAGAACATAGGAGATTCCTGCTTGTCATCTGCTGAGTGTGTGTGTGTGTGTGTGTGTGTGTGTGTGTGTCTGTGTTTGGTGAGTCAGGGCAGCCTTCGGGCCCGTTGCCCAGACACAGCTGAGTGCCAAGCCCAACCTTTGTCATATCAGTGGCACCTGCGGTGGGACCACCAGCTGGAAACCAGGGAATCAGCCACAGCCACGGAGCCAGCATGCCGCGGGGAGTGCACTTGGGACAGACCCGGGGCTGCAGCCACAGCCCTGACCTCTCAGGCCCTGGCGCTGAGGTCTGTCTGTCCCCTGAGCTTCTGCTCCAGGGTAGGCCCCTCCCCGGAGACGGCTCGCCTTCCTGGTGGCTGCTCCTCGCTCATCCCCTCTGTCTGGACATTGCCCTGTGCACCTTCCCTCTCCGTGCCTCCCCAGGAGCCGGCCCTGCCCTGCTCCCCAGGGTCCTGGCCGCACGTGTGTGAGCGATGGTGGGTGATTTGTGGATTGAGGGACTTACCACCAAGGGATGTTCCCCTCTTTCTAAATGAAAGATCATCGTTTGTTGAGGGACAACTGTCTCAGATACGGTGCTAAGCCCTTGCCGCTCACATTGTCACTTACCTGTCACACAGCCCCATGGTCCGTCACTGTCCTTACCCCCATGTTTGAAGGGAGGAGCCCAAGGCTCAGAGGGGAAGTCAGGTCCACGGTCCCTGAGCACGGAGGAGGGTGTGTCCAGAGTCAAGTCCATGTCCTTTGGGCCCTAAAGATCCCGGTAGACATTCGTCACAGAAGAGACTAACACAGCTGCTCAGACCCTGGGAGGCAGGGAGCACAGGAGGAGCGGCTGTGGGAGGAGGACCCGCTCAGGAAACTGAGGTGAGGAGTCAGGATGGGGGAGCAGAGAGGAGAGGGGACAGGGGCGGCCAGGGCTGGGGGCGCCCAGACGGCGGGGCAGGAGGGCCTCAAGGTGGACCCATGGGGTCTCACGCCCCAGCTGAAACTGAACTCGTGGGGCTCTCCTCCGGCACCCTCGTGGTGGACAGTGACAACTGTGTCCAACAGGACGTGTGGGCTCGCAGACCTGGGGTGGGTCCTATGTGCTTCCCTTTTGCCTGGGATGAAGGCCGATGCCTGCAGCTGGGTAGCCACTGGGAGTCTGAGGACAGCAGTGGGAGAAGACAGGCACTGAGTCTCCAAGCATCTCGGACTTTGTAGAATGGAATGTGCTGCCCTGGCCAGTTTGGCCCAGTGGATAGAGCGTCAGCCTGCGGACAGAAGGGTCCTGGGTTCAGTTCTGGTGAAGGGCGTGGACCTTGGTTGTAGGAACCTCCCCAGCCCGGGCCCTGGTCAGGGCTCATGCAGGAGGCGCCCAATCGATATGTTTCTCTCACATCAGTGCTCCTCTCTGTCTTTCCCTCTCTCTTCCACCCTCTCTGAAAATCACTGGAAAAATACCCTCGGGTGAGGGTAAAAAAAAAAAGAAAAGAAATTGTTCATTAAAGGAAAATGGGTGTGTGTGCCGACTGGGCATGGTGAACGCCCAGGTCGCTGTGGCTGCTGCGACGATGAGCGGAGAAATCCTCTCCCGAGGGCTGGATGGGAGCCAGGCTCCTACTTCCCCAAAGCCCTTCAATTTCCCCAAAGTCTTTGCAAGTCATAGTTTGCACACACCCTGAGCACCTACTGTATACACGGCAGAGGGAGCTGAGAGGGACCAGAGAGGATCCGGGGGCTCACACCCCTCAGGCCTGTCTCACTCCCAGAAGGAGTCGCCCTTAGAGAACAGATCCACACTCTCCCTGGCCCAGAGCGAATGAGAGGGGACAGGGGACAGCCACAGCTCTACATGTTGTTAGGACCTGAGGACCAGGGATAGTAGACAGGGGACAGGCCAAGTTCTCCGGTTTGTCAGATCTGATGAAGAACAGAGCCAGCCTCCAGCCACTGTCCTCACAGGACTCAGGGGTGACCGGGTCGAGGGGTTCTTGCGAGCGGAAAACAACAAAAACACGAGTTCTGTGAATGGATCGCAGGCTCCCTTCTCCCCGCCTGAGGCTCTGGAGCAGGTGGACGCTGGTAAAGTGGAGAGTAACAATAATAAACTCAATTGTCGAGGGTTGATTCTGTGCGGAGGGTCCCCTCCACACTGGCCGGCTCCTGGCAGTCAGGATGCAAACCCAGCAGAGGAGGAACCTGGGCCCCGCTGGCAGCCAGGGGCTGAGGCCCAGGACTCCCAGGGAGAAGGGCCCCATGCCCTTTCCTCGGGGCTGTGGGAGGCCGCACACCTTGCCCTGTCTGCAGGCTGTGACTCTGGGGAAGTGATTCCAGCCAGCTCATCCTCAGTGTCCCCAGGACCTTAAAAGCCACAAATATGTCAAGAGCAGGCCTCACCCCCAATTGTGCCTGTGCCAACCGGCCCAACCCACCCCTGGCCCAGACGCAAGGGGCACAGGCTCACTCGCTCACACAGGACAAAAAGGAACCACGTCAGGGTTCCCGGACACACCCGATGCCTCCCTCCTCTCTGACGGAAACAGGAGATGTCCACACTCCCCAAGTGTGTTTTACGGGAAGAACCTCAACCTCCCATCTGCTCCTTCCCTTTCCATTTCTGGGCTCTGACAGAAGCCCCATCTCCATTTCTTTTTCTTTTTCTTTTTTTAAAAATATATATATACTAGAGGCCCGGTGCACAAAAATTTGTGCACTCCGGGGAAGGAGGGGTCCCTCAGCCCGGCCTGTGCCCTCTCGCAGTCTGGGACCCCTCGGGAGATAACGACCTGCTGGCTTAGGCCTGCTCCCGGGTGGCAGAGGGCAGGCCCAATCCCTAGGTGCAGCCCCTGGTCGGGCTCAGAGCAGGGCCGATTGGGGAGTTGGGGTGCCTTCCCCTGTCATGCACAGAGTAGGGCAGATTGGGAGGTTGTGATGCCACCCTCAGTCACGCTCAGGGTAGGGCCGATTGGGGGGTTGGGGCACCGCCCCCAGTCACACTCAAGGCAGGGTCAATGGGGAGGTTGCGGCGCCACCCCCTGTCACGCACAGAGCAGGGCCCATCAAAGGCTTGGGGCGCTGCCCCCTGTCACACACACAGCAGAACCCATCAGGGGGGTTGGACTCCGTACCCTGTCATGCACAGAGCAGGGCCCATCAGGGGGTTGGGGAGCTCCCCCCTGTCACACACAGAGCAGGGCCCATCAGGGGGTTGGGGAGCTCCCCCCTGTCGCCCACAGAGCAGGGCCGTTCAGGGGGTTGGGGAGCTCCCTCCTGTCACTCACAGAGTAGGGCCGATAGGGGAGTTGGGGCACCGCCACCCTTCACACTCAGGGCAGGGAGGATCAGGGGGTTGGGGCGCCGCCACTGTCACACTCAGGGCAGGGCAGATGGGGAGGTTATGTTTCTACCCCATCACACACAGAGCAGGGCCTATGGGGGGAGGGGGGCTTGGGGCGCCGCCCTCTAACACCCACAGAGCAGGGCCAATCAGGTGGTTGGGGCGCCGCCACTCTCATACTCAGGGCAGGGCCAATGGGGAGGTTATGGCTCTACCCCGTCACACACAGAGCAGGGCCCGTGGGGGGCGGGGGGGTTGGGGACCCGCCCCCTGTCACACACAGAGCTGCAGGGCGATCAGGGGGTTTGGGCGCTGCCCCCTGTCATGCTGATCCCAGTGCCGGGAGGCCTCGTGGCTCCGCTGATCCCGGGGCTGGGAGGCATATTACCCTTTTACTATATAGGGTAGAGGTCTGGTGCATGGGTGGGTCTGGCTGGTTTGCCCTGAAGAGTGTCCTGGATCAGGGTGGGGGTCCCCACTGGGGTGCCTGGCCAGCCTGGGTGAGGGGATGATGGCTTTTTGCAGCTGGTCACACACCCTTCAGGGTGGGGGTCCCCACTGGGGTGCCTAGCCAGTCTGGGTGTTGGGCTGAAGGCTGTTTTCAGGCTGGGACTGAAGCTCCCAACTGCTCCTTTTTTTTTTTTTTTTTTTTTTTTTTATTCTCGGCCAGCTTTAGCTCTGAGGCCTCGGCTGCTGAAAACAGGTTTCTGGCCTTTGTTTACCGTCTGTATTTGATACAATGTTGCGGTCCGGCTGGCTGAAGCCCATATAGTTACTTAGAGTTGCAGCTGAGAGGCCGGCAAGTCAGGCGGGGAACGTTGGAGTTCTCCGTCACTGAAGCAAGCAAGCCTCCCTGTTCACATCAGCTGCCTGGCTGCCGGCCACATCTTGGCTGCCAGTTAATTTGCATATCTCGCTGATTAGCCAATGGGAAGGGTAGCGGTCGTACTCCAATTACCATGTTTCTCTTTTATTAGTATATATATATATATTGATTTCAGAGAGGAAGAGAGAGGAATAGATTAGAAATATCAATGATGAGAATCACTGATTGGCTGCCTCCTGCAAGCGCCCTGTTTGGGACCTAGCCTGCAACCTGGGCACGTGCCCTTGACCAGAATTGAACCCAAGACCCTTCAGTCCCAGGCCCAAAGCTCTATCCACTGAGCCGAACCAGCCAGGGCCCCATCTCCATTTCTGGGAACAAGTGATGAAAACATCCACAAGGTGCCGTGTCCAGGTGGAGGGGGCACCCCGAGAGAGGACAGGTGGTCCTACTGTGCTGCTCCACCCCCATCTCCCGGGCCCCCATCTCAGAGCTTGGCCCGTGGCCCAGGGTCTGAGACAGGAGAGGGGCCGGGACAGCCTGGGAACAGTGCTGAGGCCGGGGCTGGGCTGGGGCTCAGGACTGCAGAGCTGACACCTCCTACAGGGCAGCCTGGCCCTGACTCCAGACACATCCAGATCATCCATCCCAGGCCAGAGCGACGAGGCAGAGTGGGCCGGCCTGACTCTCCGACCTCAGCCTGGGCTTCCCCGGGGCACCTGCCCTGTCCCCCGTTTCCCTGACAAGGGAACAGCACCCATCTCAGCACGGCGTGCACCTGCCCAGGGGCCGCTCTCCCGCACCCGCGCCCACCCTCTCCCTCGGGGCCTGCATCCTTCCTCCTGTTCAGAAGTTTGCCCATTTCGGTGGAAAACTCCAGAAGGATGTAGGAATTGCTTTACATTCTTCACTCAACCTTCCAGAGACGGACATGGGGAGGGACTGTCCTTCCCCAGAAAACACAGGGTTCCTTTCCTTCCTTCTTCTCACCACACGGGTCCAGGGAGAGGCATGCTCCCCGCTCCCCACTCGCTGTGGGCCAGGCCGCTTTAAACCAGTTCAACACGAGGCTCTACCGATGCCTTTACCACACCAGGTGCTGGCCTGGCTGAGAGAGACCGGGAGGAGGAGCAGGTGCCCCGCCTCTCCTGCACCCAGGGGGCCAGGACCAGGGGGCCCGGGGAGGGCAGGGACCCAGAGACAGAGGTGAGGGCCGCCCAGGCATCCTCTCCTCCTGCCCCTTGGAGACTTGACTCAGACAAATCACACAAGACATGAAACCTCTGGGAGGAGGTCCCAACCTCTGACACATGGCGGCCATGGTCTTCACAGGGCTCTCCAGCCGCCTCTGTGCTCGCCACTCACTGCAGAGCGGACTCCTGGGAGTGGAGACCAGCAGGGCCAGGCTGGTCCGCATAACAGAGGGGCAGCCAGGCATCAGCAGAGAGCAGCTCAGGACGCCTGGCTTGGGGGAGAGGGTGTGGGGAGGGAGGAGGTCCTGGGGAACATTCCAGAAGAGACCTCAGAGCTGCTGGCTGAGGAGCTAGCCTGGAGGTGAGACCTGCCTCGGGGACAGGGCAGCACAGCGCTGTCCCTGCGATGATGGCCCCTCCTGGGTCCCATAGACGCCCCAGAAGAGCCTTATGGGCTCGGGGCGGGCATGCGATGCAGCGCTGAGCCCAGGGTGCTGCCCTCTGGCTGCAGGGGCGCCTGGGAGGGACGGGGTAGACATTGGGGGACACCTTTCCAGGGCCCCCAGGGCACCTTGCCTTGTGCATTAGGACTTCGCACTCGCTGCCCTGGCACAGGGTTTGTGCCAGGAGACCCCGCCCTGGCACCTGGGATGGGGTGGGGACTCAGAAGCGCTTTGTGGGTTGCATAACAGGAGGAGACATTGAGGTACAAGAGGGGAGCTGGCCTGGATCTGAACACCACTCCCCCTCCCTGGGACACAGATCTGGGGCAGCACCGGGGAGATTCTCAGGGCCCCCAGGCCTGGTCTCTGGAAACTCCTGGGTGTGGACAGTGTGTTTGGGTGGAGATCGTGACCAGTGAAGTAGCAGCACTAGCAGAAGCCACAACACACCCGGATGGGCCTGTTCCACCCTGCAAAGCCCTGAGCCTCCAGCAGGACAGCATGGCTGTTCCCAGGGCCACCAAGGTCCAAGGACAGAGCAGGAGGGAGGGGCTCGGTGCAGAGGACACCTGTTTGTGTATGTGGAGGGGCGCCCAGCCCAGAATGAGGCGGACCCTGTATTACAGGTGCCACGTGAAGGATGTGAGGAGCCGGCCTGAAAGGGAGCAGCCTGGTTCTCAGTTGGGCGGGCGGCCAGGCTCGGACTCGCTGGGGCTGGCCCCACCCTCCCCGAGCTGGGCATGTCCCCTGGGAGGGAGCGTGGGGCCGGCACAGGGGGGTCTGAGAGGAGCCGGATGGACAGTCAGTGGGACAGAGGGGCATCCTCTCGGGGACAAACTCACACTTTAGCCTGGAACACAAAGTACCCCCGTTCCTCGAGGCTGGGGGTGGAAAGACTAGCGGTGCCCCTTTCTGAGGCAGGCACACCCTGCATCCTCTGCTCCCAGGCCATCCAGGCCGCCCTGCTGGGAGCCTCTCTGTTCTCCTCTGTGTGATGGGCAGACAAAGGCTCTGAGTCCAGTTCCTTCCCCTACAGGGTGGCTCCTAAGGGGAGCTCAGCTCACGGTGGTCCCGCCCTGCCCTTCCTCTCAGGGCAGAGTCTTCCTCCTGGCTCAGCCCCGCAGGTCCCTGCACTGGGCCCGGCCATGCCCTGCACTGGCGGCCGCGGGAGTCAGGGCTGGGCACCCGGGGCCTGTCCTGTGGGGGCTCCGTGTCCTGTTCCCGGACCCTCCTCAGGTGGGAGCACCTGTCCTCTCCCTGTGCTCTCACCTCCTGCCTGGCTGTGCCGTGCTGCCCAGGGTGACCCTACCTCCTGGGACCTCACTGGCCCAAGGTCCATCCAGGGAGGGCCTTTGTCAGAACAGAGAAACCAAAACATAACTTGTCCCTGAGGGCACAGGATGAGACATTAGGGCAGAAAAGTTCCCTCTCCTATGACGCCATGTGGGTGGCATGAGTGGCCTGAGTTTAGGGAAGGGGTGCGGCTCAGCAGTGTCAGCTCAGCAGTTTCCAGGTGCCTCGATGGTATATAAGGCACCTCAGTCCTTGAAAGCATCACAGGAGGAGGACGGGCCGTGACCAGCAGAGAAGGTGAAGGAGCTGAGACATGGAGGACAACCCAGCACCAAGTGGCAGGTACCACCCGTCCCTGGAGCAGCCCTGCTTCTGGGCCCCTCCTCCTGGCTCCCTGAGGCACTTGCCTTCTACCCAGGGGACCCCCTGCTTCTCCCGTCCCTCCTGATGGCCCTTCTATGTCCAGGACCCCTCAGCTGATCCCCAGTTGGCCTGTCCTACCTGCCTCCCCTAACCCCCGGCTAGACCCTGGGGATCGCCCTTGAGGGTCCGTTTCTCCGCTCCCTCCGTCTCCCATGAAATCTATTCTTTCTGCTCTCAACTGAGCCCCTGGGAGGTCAGGTTCAGATTTATGTTTTGGTTTTTGTAAAGGACATGATGGTTTCATGATGAGAAGGGAAATGTGATGAGCTATCTGAGAAGACTAGTTTGGCATCTCTTTTCCCGATGGGGCCACCCTTCCCCCCGATGCACCATGAGGCTCAGGTTAACCCAGAAGAGCAGAGGAAAGAGCGCCCCTGGGCTGCACCTGGCAGGGCTGGGTCAGCGGGGCGAGGGCAGGACGGTGATGCCAGGAGAGGCCCCGTCAGAGCTCTGAGCCCCTGCACTGCTCCCGGGGAAACCCTGACAAAAGGACTGGGCTGACTCCCCCAATAGCCCCCGAAGGGGTCAGAGAGGGAGGTTAGGTGGCTCCAGCAAAGTGAGTGGACGTACCTCCTCTGCAGGTCTAACAGGGATGTGGGTGCAGAGGGAGGACAATGGGGTGATCCCCAGAGGAGCCCCATGCGTTGCTTCCTCCTGCCTGTGCCCACAGATCCCTGATGGATGTAGACACCTTCAATAGCAACTTTGGTATCATATGGGCGACTGAAACATACCTGTGCTACGAGGTGGAGGTCCGGGAGGAGGACACCTGGGTCCCAGTGGAGGGGCTCCAGGGCTTCCTGCGCAACCAGGTGAGTGAACACAGCAGGCAGGGCCCCGGGACACTCGGGGAGAAGGTTCCATGCCCGCGGGGTGTCCTCTGAGCAATGTCCCTGGGCCCCCAGCTGCCGTGGCGTTGCCCAGAGGCAGGGAGGACGGACTCTGCTGTGATTGGCAGCTTGGAGCCCCACATCAGAAAGCAGTCACAGTGTCCCAGGGCCTGGGCCCACCAGCCCAGGGTCAGCCTGTCCCTCCTGCTGTGCCTCTGAGGAGGGGTCAGGCCAGAGGGAAAGGCACCCGGACAAAGGGGTCGTTCTCCCCTGGCCCCGCCCGGGCAGCCTCTGGCCAGAGAGCAGAGCTCCCCCTTGGTGCTCCCTCCAGTCACTCCTGGGGGAGCCTGGCAGGGTGCTGTCCCCACAAGAGCATTGCTGGCTGCATGGAGCCCAGGACGCCTCCTGGGTCCCCAGGTACCATCCTCTGCCACCAGGGCTCTGCGCCAGCTCCGTGGGCCTGACCTCTTCCTCCTCCCTGAGCCCCTGGTTGAAAATCCTTCCCTGGGCGGGTGGGCTACTCTCCATAATCCTGTGATCCCAGCAGCGAAGCTCATCCCGTGTCTACCCACCTCTGCCTCGGTGCCCTCAGCCCTTCTTCCCGCAGAGTGTGTCACCCTTGGGCGCAGCACAGGGGAAGCCCTGAGTGGAAGCGGGTGGAGGTGCTGGTGCACAGGTGGGAGCTGGAGTTGGGGGAACAGAGGGAGAGCGCCCCTGCCTGGAGGGTGCACCCACCCCTGTTGCATCAGGCCCAGGACCTTGGGTCTCAGCTACCTCCTCCCTCTGACCTCAGCTATTTATATATTTATATTTATATTTATTTATTTATTTATTTATAAGAATTTTATTGTTTCCAGAAAGAAAGGGAGAGATAGATAGAAACATCAGTGATGAGAGAGAACCATTGGTTGGCTGCTGCCTCCTGCACGCCTCCTCCTGAGAATCAAGCCTGCAACCTGTGCCTGGGCCCTGACCAGGAACCTGTGACCTGTTTGTAGATGGGTCACTGCTCAACCCACTGAACCAGACCGGCTGGCTGCCCTCAGCCCTTTGTCTCCCTGCAGGGGCTGACGAGGGGCAGCTCCTGAAGGCATAGGCTTTGGGCACAAAATAGAGGCTCTCTGGGAACTCTGTACCAAGATGAATCACATGGAGCCCAGATCTGTTCACTCAGTGGTTAGAGCATCAGCCTGCACAGCCACGGGCCAGGGGTAGGATTCCAGGTCAAGGGCACTTATCTCAGTTGCAGCTTTGATCCCTGGCCCTGGGTGGTGGAGCGTGGGGTAGGCAACCAGTGGATGTGTCTCTCCCATGCTGATGTTTCTCTCTCTCTGACCCCTCCTCATCCCTCCACACTTTCTCTAAAGATCAATGGAAAAAATCTCCCCAGGTGAGGATTTGAAAAAAGAACCATATTTAATGTAAGACTTTAAAAAATCAAAACTAATGAAATTCCATATTGAATGGAATATTAACAGGCTAAGTGAAGACTGATCAGCTACAGATCCATAGGAGCCATGGTTTGCTGATGTAGAACAAGTCCTCACTGCTGATGTGCCCTTTGTAGATGCTGATATTATGTGATTCGTGAGTCGCCTTCCCTTTGACCGTGTAGATCCTGCATTGAAATAGCGTTCACCCTGACGCTGAGCTGCGCCCCTTCAGTCCTGTGCTGGAGGCCAGTCCTCACCTGCCTCTGGCTGGTGCCACCCTCCCCTGTTCACAGCAAGTGACAGATCCCTCTACTCCCCTCTCTGTGCTCAGGTATACTGTCATGCAGAGTTGTGCTTCCTGGATCGGGTCCCTTCTTGGCTCCTGGATGAGGGGAAGCAGTACAGACTCATGTGGTACATCTCTTGGAGCCCCTGCCCTGACTGTGCCCCGAAACTGGTGGACTTCCTGCGCAAGAACAGCCACGTGCAGCTGCGCATCTTCGCCGCTCGCATCTACACCAAACTTGATGGATATGAGGATGGGCTGCGCAGGCTGCAGGACGCTGGGGCCAAACTCGCCATCATGACCCCCAAAGGTCAGCAGGGACTCCTGAGAGTGGGAGGTGGGCGGGCAGAGAGGCTGGGAAATGGCTGCACAGAGGGGGCAGGAGGAGAATCTAGGTGGGGACCCCTTTCAGCTGCCTGCAGAGGGGCTGCTGGGTCTGGAGAGGATGGAGTCTCCTGGAGGAGAGTTCAGGGGAGAGAGGGGGTCCTGGGAAGAGGGGAGGTGGGTCCCTGTGCCATCAGGACCCAGGTCCTTCCTGGTAGAAGGGGAGGGGCTGCCTCAGATTCCAGTGGAAGAAAGAATTTGAGGGATGAGCTCAGTGCCTTGGGAGGAGAGAGAAAGGGGCAGGGAGATTCTGATTGGGAGGGTGTGTCTCTAGAGTCAGAGACCTGGGCCCTTCCCGGGCTCTAGAAGGAGCTCACCTTTCCCTCCCTGTTCCCATAGAGCTCCAGCACTGCTGGGACACCTTCGTGGACAACCAGGGCCAGCAGTTCGAGCCCGAGCTTGAACTGTTAGAAAAGATAAGAGCCCGATGTCAGAGGCTGGAGAACATTCTCAGGGTGAGGTTCCTCCCTCCCCTTCTCTCCCCTTCTCTCCCTGGGCCTGTCTCTGCCTCTGGGTCACCTGCTCCCTCCTGGGCCCCAGCTCCATCCTCCCCTCAGGTCTCAGGAGTCCCTCTGCTTTCTCCCCTCCTGCACCCCTTTTCCTCCCCCTCCTGTGACTGCCCCAGACTCTGCTCTGTTCACCTTCCCACCTGCCTCACTCCCTGCTTCCTCCACCTCCTCCTTCTCAATCCAGATTCAGGGAAACTGAAGGATGGGCTCAATCTCTCTAAACAGGTCGGGAGACAGCTGGTGAACGAGGAATAAAACACTTTCTTCAAGAAACGAAAACGCATCACGTGCCACCATCCCCAACTTGTTCCAAAGAATCCAGTAAAAAGCAACGAATGAGCTCATAAGGAATTTTTTAAATCTGATTGATTTACTTTTCATTTAAAATCTATGATGTGTTCTAAATACACACCAGTAATATTGTATTCATTACTATCAGAGTCATTTTTATATTTAGAAAATTAATTATTTACATTGATTTTAAATCCAAAGCAATAACATGAAAGATTAAGAATATTCCACACAATGCTTTTTCCCCTGTTACTGTTTCATGAAGTCCAAACAGTTCAATAAACACCTGAAAAAGTGACAAAGCCTTTCTCTTCTGTAGGTACCTCCTGGGAGCGCGGTGGCCACACTAATTGCCACTGGCCACGTAAAGTCAGCAATATTTATAGGAGCAGAAGCTCAAACCCAAAAGCCTAAACGCATCGACGAAGGATGTGCGGAGAGTAGTGCTGTGTTGAAACGACAGCCCATGCCATAGGAGAGGAGAGAGGCCCAGGGTCACTATTGGGAAGAGCAGTTGAAGTTGACATTGGCTGAGGGGAGGCCCGGGGATTACTTAGTCCTCAGGCCTTTCCAATTCCACTCCCTGGAGAGGACGCTGGAGGGAGGGGCTTCCCTGCAGACAGGATTCCTCTGCCCTTCCCAGGACTTGGCCCACGCAGGATGCAGTGCAGGCAGCAGCTGTCTGTCCTGCCGTGTCTCTGTGGAGCCTGAATCATGCTGAGCGAGCCCCTGGCAGTTGGGCATCCTGCACAGGTCTTACAGGCAACCAAGGCTCCAGGTCTCTCACCATAGGCTTCTGCTCACTTGTCTGGACCCTCCTGTCACAGCCTCACACAGGACTGTGAGGGACTGGGACTGAGTCCTTTAGTTTAGAGACATTGGAGGGATAGAGAATAAGGACAGTCATATGCTTGTGGCCAAAGCAGTAGGAGGGGGCTGAGTCAGGAGGCCACAGAGCCAGAGGGAAGACTTGATAGACAATGTGACCTGAAGAGATGGAAGAAAAGGACAGGAGATGGGTGGTGGGGTGGGGTGGGGTGGGGTGGGTGGGGTGGGGTGCAGTGGGGTAAAGCACGGCCTGGGGCCAATAGTGCGAGACAAGGGGC